ATTAAGGTAACTTTGATTAGTCCTGAACATTAGTAATATTTGATTAACCATGCGTTTTAGTTCCCGTTCGAACGATGCCATTTCTTATAATTTGGTCTCCATCAATCCCATCATCATAATTCAGAACACTATGGACCGAATCAGTTAATTCTTTGCATGTACCTAATGTTTTATGTGAAACATATGCACCATCGTCCGAATCATCGCACGGTTTCGCTAATGCCGGCCATTTATAACCGCCCCACGAACCCGTGATTCGCCGGGAGTCAAGGACAGAAGGTCTATATTCCAAAATTTCTTATTCCAAAGTTGAAAATTGTTAGTGGGCAAGTGAATGAAGACGATGGAATGTCTAAATATTTGTGCAAACCGTGTTTTATTAAACTGAAAAAAGTGTCGAAACTGATAACATATCGACTTGCCCGATCCGGTTTCGTTGCAACAAACACATCATTTCCCTCGCATACAGCACTAAGCGCTTTCTTTTGATGGTCAGTATGCTCGTTCAGAGCAAAAAGCTAGCAACACATTGATTTTTATATTCCAAGATTTTAATTTTACCAAATAATGTGAGTTCTGACTGAGTGATAATGCAAGTGAATTTTATAATCGCTTGAGGGCGTGCGACATACTGTAAATCGTGGTGAAATCTGCCAAGGGTTGATGTCGAGGCTTCGACCGAATAAATGCCAGTGGTCCTTTGCTGGCGAAGATGCATATAAGCATGCAGTGATTGAGTGATATGATCCAAGATAGTCGACTTGCAGCCTTTTTTATTTTTTGAAAATGTTGATGTGGTATTTTGGACATGCTTTGTCAGTTTTAGTTAAAATTCAATATATACATTATGCATGGTAAGGTACATGTCCATAACGATTCGTTATGCAATCGGGTCAAAGATGGCCGACTGGCGGTCATCTTAATTTTTGGTCATACTACTATATAAAAAACATTACTAGTGATTAATGTTATTAAATTTAAATTAAATCATGATTACGAAATAAATGAAAAACAACTTACAAAATCGGATAAAAATCGGTGGGGGAATAAGGTAAAAACATAAAATGAATGAAATAAAGACTTTCAGCTTTTGCCGAGTGGTGTAGACCATAATTTAGAAAAAAAAATCCTGCGTCTGAAAGAAAAATAACATTGAAGATGAAAGTTTTTTTAGAATGCACCAATTACGAAAATCATGATGAACGAAGAAGTTTATTTTAAAAATGTGACATTAGTAAAGATGTTCAAATGTCCAAAAAGTTAAATATTACAAATAGAGAAATTCAACCAGCAAGCTATTTCAAAAACACAATATGTAAATGAGGAGAGGGGGAGAACCTATGATAAATTATATTTTCCTGTCATCTATTTTAAACTTGCAATTCTTTCTGAGTTACAATGCCATGTCATTCTCGTTGTTGTTATACTATACGGTACCCTCTGATGGTTGTGTAATAAAGATTATTATTATTATTACACATATATGTCCATGTCATTTTGTTTCATAATCCAAGATGGCCGACTGGCAGCCACCGTGTTTTTCTTTTTGAATATGTGGTACATGTATGATATGATATGAATTTTATTCAGTACAATGGCCTCAGGCCTATAGTACAATAAATCAAAAATAGAAAAATACACACAGAGGGATTCCTTCAAATAATTGTTGAATCTACTAGTCACAACTGGTTAAGTAGATTGTCTTTGTGTTTAGAAGCGTAGAATACACATTTCGCAATTTTAAGTGCAGAAAGGTTGTCAAACTGCATGTATATTGTCCAAGACAATAAATTTCTTAATCGGATCAAAGACGGTCGACTATTAAACATTTTTTTTGTCATACCAATATATATCTCCTTCACATATGTACAGTTTTCATTGACATTTTAGCACATGTGTCATAAATGGATACATATCAAGTTCATTTTGTGATTTGGTTAAATATGCACATATTTGACAAGCCAGACGAATCCGATGGTTTGCATGAAGGCAAGATTTCCTCCTCAAGGTCGGTTAACGAGCAATGTGTCATCAAGCGGTAGAAAATGCAATACCCCAGACGATTCGCAGATTTGAAGAAGCGATTTGCCATTGTACTGATCGTGCGTTGATTTTTCTTATGACCCGACAGCTATCATAATTTCATATGTGTCCTATGAATTCTGCCAATTATTACCAAATTGCAATTTTTTTTAACATTGAAGAACAAGGTTTACGAACTTCTGGAAACGGCAAATAAATATGGGTGCAAATAAACAAAATAAGAGAAAAAAAATTGCCATTACCTGTAAAACTGATAAAATTTAGTCTATAGCTGTATCGGATTTTACTAGCTAATTCTTGTTGAAAGTTAGCGCGCATGTAAAAAGACGTCTCAGTGATACATTCATGTAAGAATTACTTATATTATAATAATAATGCTTGCTACAATAATTGTCTTTCACTCGATAAGAACTCCGGAATGCAGTGCCCTCATCGGCGAGCGGCCGGAACGCTCAAACCTCAGACAAACTATCTGCAGTTTGAATCGAGACAGTTTATTGAACAATTTGGATTTTAGAAATGTTCTCTTTTTCATGCTTTTGGCAAGGCGTCGAGTTCGGCCAGAGGGGGACAACGATTGTTTTCTATTCCAGGTTAATTTACTAGTTAGCCTATGTGCGGTTGAGTCGCACTATGTGATTCTTACTTGGTGATTACATTTTCATCTTGTTTAGGAATTTTGTTCAATAATATCATACAAGTTAACATATACTCTTGTCATTAATGCATATTTTGCGTCGGAAGAACAATTTACTTCGTTGTTTTCATGTTTTCATACTTTATATCCTTTGTATATTGTGGAGTTTTGTGTAATATTTACATTTGAGTGACTTTTTTCGTCTGACAATGTGTCGAGTGCAGGTCTTAATTTTCTACGTCAATGGTGTTATTCCTGTTTTATTCCCGACAGGACAGTTTTCTGTTGCGACGAATTATTCTTTTTTTTTTTTTTACTTTGTGATATGTGTATTTTTCATTTATTGCGTTTATTAATTTAGCCTCTGTTTTGTACATTTTCGAGTTTTTGCATGTTAATGATTTCTGACACTCGCGTCTAGATGCATTTGACATTGCGTCGGGTTCAGACTTTCAGGGCTTTTCCTCTAATGGGGGGGTTCTAATTTTTGTTTTGGTAATCATAGTGCCGATCCTTTTTTTTTAACTTTTACACAATGTTCGCTATTTTTTGCTAATTGCGGTATAAATAACATAGCTCTTACATTTCCTGGTGTTATTTCCATAATACTGATGTTTAGTTTTAAATGTATCATCATTGCGATTAAAACGTATTACGTCACATGTAGGTCAGCTGGTTGGTCTCACTTGGTTGGTTTGATTGTCACAGCTTTTCCCCCAGTCATTTGCAATGCGCAAATTCTGAATTTTCTGTCATCGTTTGTTGAATAGACAATTTAAGTGGCCACCTCGGCGTCCTTGCAAGACTATTTCATTGTATGTGTTGTCACTTATTTACTCACACCGTTGTCCCACTATCATTCTAATGAAATATCTTGCAAGATCTTGAATATGTAAGCCCAACTTTAAATTCACTTATAATAATGGCAACGCCAAATTTGCGTTCCATATGAGCAATGTATCGACACTATTATACCCTGATCGATACATAAAAGAAAGTTGTATTATGTCAAAATCAATTTTCATGTTCATATTACATTATGAAAATGTATATAAACTATTATTTAACAAAGTAAGCACTGGTCAATATTTCTCCAGAAGTGTCTGCAGAAAGACATCTCTCGGTTCCGAACGAATATTGGCAATTTTGATTGGTGAACCCAGTGTGGCAGTCCAGCAACGGAATACTGCATGACCTTTGACATTTCGACACGTGCCTGGATAAATTTGTATTCGCACTACCAGTCTTTGCAGATGTTCATAGCGGTGCGAACTTCCGTTGGTGTCAGAGCAACTTATAGATCGTTTTTCACGACAGCGGCTTACAATATGCCTATAAAGGTAATATCACCATCAATACGCCCGGGCACTACGTTTCGACAGTATAAGACACCTTCCAATAACGGTCATTTAGTACGGCAATTGCCTACCAGTAAATAACAATCCGAAGTTAGTGTTTTTAATGGTTGCCAGTCATGTGATACTGACCATGTGACTAATACACTGAAAGTAGTTTTCATTTGTCGGGTTGGATTGGCATGCATGACGGTCCGACCTGGTGTCTGCGGACATTAAACAAATACACCGCAAATATGACGGCAATGCCAACCAATTCCCGGGCCAATTTATGCGAAATCTGTCTGCACGCAATTATGCAAAACAACAAGTCTGGGCACCTACTGGGCACCAAGCTAAAACACTTTCCTCTAAATTTACCAGATCGGGAGATAAATATTGACGAGTAGACATGATCACTTGATACGAATATTTGTTTAGATACACAATCTTGAATGTTGTACAATTTATGAGTAGGTCCGAGACCATTAGAACAGCCCAACAGCAACAATGTCCTAAAAATCACTTTTTTTGTTGTCATACAGGAATAATCGATTAGAGTGGGATAAATTCTCCCAATATTTCAACCTAATTTGTTCAAATTTAGTGGGAGATTTGTTTAAAATAAAGCACTGCAATGGACCATATTTTCCTTGTTTGGAAATGATGTCTATGGGGGGGGGGGCAATGTCTATCACACCACATGAAGAGGAGCTGCTGCCTCAGGTCTGTGTCCAGAGTATATGTCATAAATGAGATATGGGTAAGCTTTGTGAGCATTACATGTACTTTGTTTTCTATAGGTTGGTGATAAACTGCCCAGTGTAACAGTTCATGAAGGCAGTCCCAATGGAGAAGTAAATATATCTGAAGTGTTTGCTGGAAAGAAGGCTGTGTTATTTGCAGTCCCTGGAGCCTTCACACCAGGATGCTCAAAGGTAAAATATGGTTTTATATCTGGTTTCATACTACACCTGAAAACACCATGTATTGTTATTAATTTAATTAATTTCCGTTCCAATTCTATTGATTTTTTTTTTTCACTATAAACTTGTATTGCTTTTTTAAAGGGGAACTGCTCAATCCCAGGGCACCAAGTGCTCAATTTCGGCTCCACCTCAATAATTCCCTAAAACAGCTACAGATATTAATAACGTAATTTGAAAAAATTACAAAGACACTTATTTGGAAAAAAAAAAAAGTTGTGTGAAATTTAAAACAGAGAGAGACATATTTGAATAAGCTGGACTGCGAGAAAATAAAATAATATACACATATTTGGATTATACTGGGTTATTTTGGTTGTAGCGTTAGTATTGCCATGGTTATAATCACTTTGATGCATGTAGGCAGATAGCTGGCTTTGGCCTCATTTTTGCTTTTCAAATAAGGCAGATTAATATATCCACTTTGAAAAGGGGGAAGATTGTGGCCTGATAACAATCATATGAATAATTAATTAATAATCAGCGAATATGATGGCTAATTACATTCACTATTCATTTAATGAGTATGTTTACACTGTAATGGCAGTTTACAAGTGAGTTGACAAACTCGTGTGGAGCACTGAATTTCTCTAAATAAACATAGATTCTAGTCTACTATGTATAATTTTACTAGTTTGATGTATTTTACATCATATTCACTGGTTTTTAATTTCACAGCTTTTTTATGAAAAATATCATCCATTGAATTTAACTCAGCACATTTATCAGTGAAAATAAAACCCAGTGAATTAATGCTGTTTGCCATTCCGTCACTAAATGTACCATTTCTAAAAGCCTTGTATGTGATACTGTATGGTAATATCCACTATATTCCAGCCTTCTTTTAGCTACACCATTCCAGGAGGCATTATGCAAATGTTATGCTAATTACTTGACTTCTGGCTTTCTGATTGGTAGAGAGAGAGAACAGACAAGTACATATTCTTG